TCCTTCCTTCCTTCCATCCACCCCATCTCTATCTTCCCTGCCTGCCTGCCTGCCTGCCTGCCTGCCTGCCTTCCTTTTTCCCTCCCTCCCTCCTTCCCTTCCACCTGTGGGGCTGATCTGGAATCTGGCAAATGTCTCTTTCCTCCTTGGGGAGGCTCTTCTACCAGATGGAATCTCTCTCTCACCAAAGGGCAGGGAATCTTTTTACTTTTAAAAGCACACATCCCAGCCCACATGGGCATGCACACACACACACACACACACACACACACACACACACACAGAGGAGGAGAAGTGCAGAAAAGGCATCTAAGGGGGAAAAAACTTTTTAGTGGTCTCTCTGTTCTGCCCTTTTGGCCCTCCAAAAAATTATGCTTCACTTGCTTGGAGGGAGCCAACAGCCTTGCGCAAAGGCTTCCTGTATTCTTATTTATAGCAATAGTTTTCTTCTTCCAAAACCACAAGCATTAGAACCTGTGTTTTCTAAGGAAAGGCCCCTATCTGGGTGTCCTGCATACAGAAAAGCATCCATTTACTCCTGGCGGGCATGGAAGGGCCCTGCTCCAAAAGCCTAGAAAACACCTCCTCTGCTCTGCTCAAACAGAGGTTTCTAAATCAAATCAAATCAAATCAGTGAAATGAAAACCTGCCGCCTTCTTCCCCTGGGCAAGCCTATTTCAGCACCCGCCCACCCCTGAAGCCGCGTACCTGAGGTTGGAGCAATCGGAGTGGCCGGCAGGCCGTTCAAGCTGACGGTGCCAATTTGCTGGATGTGGCATGGTGAAAAGGTGAGGCTGGGGCTGAGGAAGCTGCCGTGGGATGCCGAGAGGACCGTCTGCTGCTGCATCAGCTGCCGGAGGGAGAAATAAGCCGTCCCAAAGCAAATGGTGAGCTTGGATCTGGGGGGCTGCTCTACCCACCAAGGGACTGGGAGAACTCAGCGGTGTGTAGAAATGAAAAACCAACTTTGCCAAGAAGATGCTAAGGGGGGGGCGGGGAAAGGAGTCGGCATAATACCATGAGGATGCAGCATGTTTGGGGGTGCAAAAGGGAGCAGAGGGGCAGTTTGGTGCAGTGGTGAAGGCCCCAGGCTAGAAACCGGGAGACCGTGAGTTTGAGTCCTGCCTTAGGTGCGAAGCCAGCTGGGTGACCTTGGGCCAGTCCCTCTCTCTCAGCTCTAGGAAGCAGGCGAGGGCAAACCGCTTCTGAAATCTTGCCAAGGAAACTGCAGGGACTTATCCAGGTAATCACCAGGAGTCAACACTGACTCGAAGGCACCAAAAAGAAAAAGAAAAAAGGGATTATGTCTGCTTGGCATGGCTGGCTGTGAACAGAATGGCGTTCAGGGCTACAATTGGGTTTGGTTTACCCCAGTGTTTCTCCACCTTGGGAACTTGAAGATGGGTGGACTTCAGCTCCCAGAATTCACAGCTTAAAGTGGCCAAGGTTGAGAAATGCTGCGGTAGAATTTGCGAAAAAAAAACCCCAAAAGAGGGGAAAGAATGCAATAAATGTGGCAGTCTTTAAAGCTCCTGTTTAGAATGCCAGCTTCACCCTCTTCCACAGTACACCTTTTGGCACCCGTTTCCACCATTTTGAAAATTTCAGAATTTCACAGTTTTGGAGTCCGCACAGCTTAAAGTGGCCGAGGTGGGGAAACGCCACTCTACAGTCTTGCTGCAAAGCCTCTTCTCACGCACCAAGCCGACACCGGCAGCCCGACAGGAGCCCCCGCTTCCCAGTTCCGACGGGAAGAAGGCTGGGCTGGCTTTCATCCCGTCGATACTCACCGCCTGAGCATATGCGCTGTACGGGCTGAACGGCAAGGCGAAGGAGGGGGTAAGGATGCCAAGCTGCCCCACCATCTGCTGCACGCGACGCAGCGTCCGCTCCTTGTCCGTGTCGGCGAATTTCACCACGAGGCTGGAAGAGGCACCCTGGTGGGCAGAAAGGCGAGCTTGGGGTGGGGAAAAAGAGGACCCTCTGGGGGCCGTTTGGTGCGCAGAATTCTGCAATCGTGTACACGTTTGTCCCTCCTTTGCCGCAGGGTGTGGTCAAAAAAGTCAAGATGGCAGCCCCGACTGTGGGATTGAAGGAACCTATGAAGCTGCGTTAGAACAAGGCAGACCATGGCATGGCTTCTTCCGGATTATTTATACGCAGGAAGCAATTTATGTTCCATGGAGACCTTGGGGGTTGAATCTGCAACCCTCTGCATGCCAAGGAGGTGTTTTCTCCTGGGCTTTTTTCCTTTCTCTTCAAGCAAGAGCAATGAGGGCTGGGGTGCCTGCAGGGTGTGGTCAAAAAAGTAAAGATGGTGGCCACCACGGTGGAATCAAAGTTCTGCCTCTTTTTTATGTGCAATGCACACAGTGCCCCCCCAAAAATTCACCCAATGCACATAGAAACCAGGGAGAGCTTTTATCACACTGTTGTGGCCGCCATTTTGACTCTTTTGACCACCCCTCGGGGACACCCCAGCCCTCATTGCCCTTGCTTGAAGAGAAAGGGAAAGAACCCAGGAGAAAACACCTCTTTGGCAGGGAGAGGGTTGCAGATTCAACCCCCAAGGTCCCAATGGAAGGCAAATTGCTTCCTGCATATAAATAATCCGGAACGAGACCGTCCAGGGGTCTGACTTGCTCTGATGCAGCCTCATAGGTTCCTGATTTTTTTAAAAAAATTATTCAACACACAAGGACAAGAATCTTAGTTTCTTCTCTCTGTCTTTTTTCTCTCAGTGCTATGTACCAACTTGCGCCTGCAGAAAGTCCCAGATTTTAAGGCTAACTTTGCTCCTTGTGGTTACAAAGAACAGGGTGAAGGAGAAGGAATTATTTCCATCAGCTCCAGATACTAATTCTCCTTTTAGGGAGTGAGTTCTATCCAGGGAGTCTGCAGGGTATGGTCAGAAAAGTCAAGATGGTGGCCCCAATGGTGGGACCACAGCTCCAATTGCAGGCAGTTCCTCCAATTTTTGACAACTTCCTACCCACATCCCTACTCTTACCCCACCCTCCATGGCCCCTCTGAGATTGGGGAAGGCCAGAGTGCACCTTGACCCAAAGCTCTCTGTCTAAACCCAAAGACAGAAAGGGACCTTTCAAGGAAAGAACAACGACAGCAGGAAAGTTACTGAGCAGAAATAAAGATTCCAAACAGGAGCAGCTGCCAAGGTGGGGTAGCCCCCCAGGGGTTTATTTGCCAAAATAAAAAAGTGAAGGTCTCTATTTAGACCAGGGGAGAAGGTTTTGATGGACTTCTGCTAGAGAACTGCTTGATGGCTGTTGATTTTCTCTTTTCCTTTAAAATTACAGCATGTCCCCAGAGTTTGCGTGACGGTTTAAAATGGAATTAAAAATCACACAATGTTTCACTGGATTTAATGTCAAGCAATTAAATCACTTGAAATGTATTAGGGTCCCATGATTTGGGCCCAGGTGGTTTGGTGTTAAATCTCTCTTCTCTGAGGTCTTTAAGCCCCCTAACCACAAAGTTTCAAGCCATGACTCCACTTTCAAATCGGGGGACAGGGCAGAATTGACTCAGCTACACCCACAGCCTGAGTTCCCCTTCCAAATTTCCTATGGTCTCCCTGCATTTTGAAGCCCAGAGCAAGCTATTGACATCCATCAATGACTGGAAACCCCTTAGGGGCTTTTTGCGTAAGAAAGAAAATGATTTTGTGACTTATGGTTTTGAAGATTGGAAAGAATAGGTTATAGAAAGAAGAGAATTATGATGAAATCTTAGAGGGAGAAGTTTCATTAGAACTGTATGTATAACTGGTGAAAGGAAGATCGGAAGCCAGATGTACTGTATGTATGTACATCTCTGTGTGTGTGTGTGTGTGTGTGTGTGTGTGTGCGTGTATAATCACAAGGACTGGATACGGATACAAGTTCAAGAGTGGAACAACCATCAGCCACCTCCTCTACATGGATGACATCAAGCTGTACGCAAAGAGCGAATGAGACATCAACTCACTGATCCACCTGACAAGGATCTACAGTGGACATTGGGATGTCATTCGGACTGGAAAAGTGTGATTGGATGGTAGTAAAGAGAGGGAAGGTAGTTAAGACTGATGGGGTGGAACTACTGGCGGGCCACATAGCAGACATACAGACCAGTTACAAGTACCTTGGTGTCCCACAGTCACATGGGAATCACGATGAGGAGGCAAGGAAGACAGCAACGTCCAAGTACCATCAAAGGATAAGGCAGATCCTGAAGAGCTACCTCAGTGGGAAGAACAAGATCCACGCCATCAACACGTACGCCCTGCCAGTCTTCAGATACCCTGCTGTATAGTGAGCTGGCCAAAGGAGGACTTGGAGGCTGTTGATGTGAAGACCTGGAAGCTCCCACAATGTATGGAGGTTTCCACCCCACGCCCAGCACCCAGAGACTGTACACCAGCTAAAAAGAGGGCAGGCAGGGTCTGGTGAGTGTCAAAGCCACTGTCCTGGATGAAATCCAGGAGTATACCAGTAAGATGGCAGCCAAAGATGAGCTGCTGAGATAATGCCTGAGGCAGCAGCAGACATGGAGGAAGTTCAAGCAGAGGAAGTGCCGTGGCAAGACGAGACCATCCATGGGACGGACCATCGGCAGATAGCTGAGGTGGCTGACACTGGGAAATCCTGCCAGTGGCTGGAAAGGGCGGGGCTGGAAGACAGCCCGGAGGCACTGATCATAGCCGCACAAGACCTGGCACTAAGCACCAGATCCATAGAAGCAGGGTCTGCCACACTAGGCAGCAC